ACAACAGGAAAAAACTGCAACTGTGTTAATTGCGTAATTTTTTTTTAACACGTTAAATGTTTAAAATAATCGCATGTGTTAACGCACTAATTTTGACTGGACTACTAATGATACAATACTTCAAAGTAATTTAGCAAAGTTTAAACTTCCCAGTGATTTTATTTTATGTTTGCAAAGATTTATTTTTCATTTGATACAGTTTCATTTGAGTATCTTTTTTCCTGTTTAGAATTTAACTGACCCTGTAATTGTCATTTTGTAGGGATTTATAAAGCAGAAATAGTTCTCACTTTAGATTAGGTCACAAAACTGCATGAAGTTGACCTACTAAAGCATTTATTAACCACTTAAACTCGTGACGTCATCGACTTTCGCTTTCAGATTTAAAGGGCTAGCGTTGCACCAGACCCCCATAAGTGGTGTCGTTTGAAAGTGTAGAATCTATATTTTATGCACATATGCATCACTTTGGTTTTTATTCTACTGTATAAAAGTTATTTACACTTAAATACACAGTATTTTGGATACCCGAGCTAGGTATTTTACATTGGTTATTACATTTTCATATTTTTTCATATGACACAAGTACAAGTTATAGCTCAAATGAAAGCTCTTGCCAGTGCTCATACAGTTCTAGCATTCTTTTTACTGAATTATATTAATATGCCAAACAGTTGTTGAATGAATTGTGGTGTTTCCATGGCGCAGAAATGTAAACAATACATTCATGATCAATAAGCAGCCCCAGATAGCACAGACAGCTGTCATCTCTTACCCTATGCTGTGCCCTTCAGGGCCATTCTCCTCTGTTTTTGAGGTGATGTGCATAAGTAATCCTTTTATATGTCTGACGTGATCCAAACACAGTGAATTATGTTTGATCAAACTAAAGAGTAGTGAAACATGAAAACAATGATGGCTCCCTGTGGCTTGTACAGCACCTCTCATCAGTTGGAATGCAATAACCTCTGCATAGATTATGGTAGAGACATTTTTATTTTTTCCTATGACTACAGACATGTGCAGGAACCACCAAAATTAATTACAGCACACTAGACCACACAGAACCTAAAAAGTACACTTTCAAATTTGATTTTATAAAAAAAAAAAAAATAGAAAAAGCACCTCTCTTTTTGGATGTTTATTATAACACAGACGACATATACAGTTGTTTTAAACACTTTCAATAGTGCTTTATGAAAATTCAATAGGTTTTCTTTAAAATGATACCAAATTTTTGCATTTACACCTTTTTATGTGGATTTGGGAAGCTTTTAAATTTGGGTAGCCAAAATCCAGGCGGAAATCCCCAAATAGCAGCAGAGTTTAAGTGGTTAACATACAATTTACATACAAATTAACTATTAGTATTCGCCTGAATAATAAACAGACACAAACTCCACACAGAAACACCAACTGACCCAGCCGATGCTCGAACCAGCAACCTTCTTGCTGTGAGGCGACAGCACTACCTACTGTGCCACTGCATTGCATATTTATAAATATAAATACTATTACTACTACTAATACTGCTATTACCATTACTACTATTGCTAAAATATTATTAATAATATTCATTTTAATCCTTTATTCTTTCATATATAAATGTATTTGTGAATGCCTCTGCATCCTTGTGTGTGTTAAGCAACGTGCATGCATGTTTTTGTACCCGCATGGGCACATAACACTACCTTGCTCTTAAAATAATAATAACTCTATGCCATTGTCTTTAGACCAGTTGTTATTTGGTTAATGCTGTAGTCTTTTTCAATTGGTTTAAAATAGCAACATGCCAACAGTGTGCCTTTACACACCTCATTTACAGACCAGCACACCCATGAGTCTACAAAGTGGTGAAAATGCATTTGCTATTTTACCCTAGTGTACTGTTCAAATTTACTACACTTTGTTTTGTTCGTGGCTGTTTTTGGCCCATTGACTTCCATTATAATGGCATTTTTTTATGGCAAAGCCATGACAGCATATAATCATGCTTTCTTGTTTGTAAGTGGTTTTCCCTGTTAAGAAGAGGTAAAGTGTGTAATTTGTACTTATTAGTCGGCAGCATTAACCCTTTAGATAGGCCTGTGCAAAAAAATGTTTATGGCTTTTACATGGAGTTCTATGGAACAAAACAGACGATTATAGTACATAAATACACTTACTATATTCTGAGAGTTAAGCTGCTTATTTAGATTTTCGCAAGCATGTCAAAATAAGTGCACACAGGTGTCACACACACTATACTCCACATAGAGGGCAGAAGCTAAGCTTTTTTTTGCACTGATAATCAACAGGAAATAATTTTATTTTACAATCAAGAATGCATGATTACTTTATAAGATGTCATGGCTTTGCAATAAAAAATACATTTTAATGAAAGTCAATGGGGCATAAACAACCACAAACATAATGAATGGGCAGTACATTTTTGCCCAGAGTGTATTGTTGATTTTTTTTTTTTTCAAAGCATTTTTTCAAAATATGTGTCAGAATAAAATTTGTCACTAGAAATCATTCCATTTGCTGAAACACATAGAAAGGTATAGCCAAATTAAGATTCAAAATCACCCCAGAGTGGATGAAAACATTTCCAACAGCAAACATTGGTTAAACAACATGGTGTAAAACATGAAAATGATAGCTGTGCGAGTCTGAAAATATCAAAAATATCACTTGCGCCGTTTCTGGCACCACATTGCACCAGATGTATGATAGGGCCCTATGAGTTTGTTTACTTTACTTTTAGGCTCTATAAAGATAAAAACTCTTAGTTTATAAGAAAATGTCTTTTGAACACTTCCAATGTCTATCATATTGCTATTTGCCAGTGTTCAGCCTGAATATGTTCCTCCCTTTTTTAAGATTTAATATACATATTATGGTTATTCTGAGTGTGCCAGTTTAGGTTCAGTTCAAAACACAATTCAGATTTTTTTTTATTATAATTTTGTTAAAAAGTGTCATTTATTGTATGTGTTTATTATAATGTGTTAAAAAGTGAAACAACAAACTGATGATATGGTGATGCGTGCCTGTCAATTAATATTGGTGGGTCGAGGGGAACGCATTCCTACGTCAAGTTGCGGTCAATCTAAAAACCGCTCCAATTGGTCCCCTGTTTTTATGTTGTTAAATTGAAAAAAAAAAAAAAAAAAAAGGACTGGGTGTGTTTATGGGTGCTTTCACACCTGCCTTATTTAGTTCGATTGAATCGCACTAGAGTTTGTTCCCCCTTTTGGTACGATTCGTTTGGGCAGGTGAGAATGCAGCAATCGTACTCGAGTGCGCACCAAAAGCGGATCAAATAAGCGTACCGAGACCACCTCTTCAAGCAGCTCTTTCAAACGAACCCTGGAGCGGTTCGTTTGTGGTGAGAATATGATTCGTACTAAAACAGGTCCAACCGCAAAAAGTACTGCGCGTTTTGGACTAAATCAGCTGCCGTAGGCCGATGCGCTGTGCATTATGGTATATGGAGGAAAAATATTTGTTGACAGCGCTTTACCAACAAAGAGAGAGAGAGAGAGAGAGAGAGGGGAAAACATTACCTGATGGATCGTTGGTAATATTTCCCCAAGATGACCATGTCGCAGTTTAGCTAAATTAATTCACTTTTCCTCCTGAAGTGATGTGCGATGCATTAAACACTGTTTTCCAGCCACGGCGGCGCTTCATTTTCGTAATGTATAGTTTGTCTAAAGCAGGGATACAATCAGCCAGCGCAGTCGTCCCTCCAGAGCCTCCAGAGTAAAAGGTTTTGTTTACCTGCGGCATTTTCCCGCACGTGACTTCTGACCAATCAATAAGCAGTTTAGGAAATATGCTCAACAACATCTGGCCAATGAGAGAGATGACTGCATTTTGGTTCGTTTCAACTGGTTCGGACCAAAGCCAGCAGTGTGGCGTGAAAACGACCCAAAGACGCCAGGAGATGCAACAATGTATCATTTATTACCCTCGGTTCGGACCAAATGAAGCGAACTACAGATGTGAAAGCACCCTATGTCACCCCAGTATGACGGTCTATACACTATACCTACACACATGTCTGTCCAAAAAGCTTGAAAAGTAGATTTTTCACCATAGGTGCCCTTTAAGCCTGCTGGCATGATTATGCTTTTACATCAAACCTTTGTTGGGCTGAAAAAAAAATCGAAAACGAGTCTATAGGAGTACTGTCAAGTTACTCCATTTAAGTTGAAGTAATGAGGTATTTAATTAACTCATTACTTTCAACACTGAGTTCAAAACTTTTGTACAAATGAGAATTAATTTACAGTACATTTTAAAATAACTACACTCATTTCATTTGATAAAGTTGACTGCTGAGTTTTACAGTGTAGCAAACACAATTTAATTTGATGACCATATCATATACATATGGTAACATTATAAATAGCTTCAGCTGACAGCGGCTATTGAGATATATGGCAAACTATATGATTGCTTGGCTACAATGTGGGTGTCAATGTGTGTGTGTGTGTGTGTTCCGAAATACAATACAGATAGATTTAATTCTACTGGATTAAATTTGGTTCTCTATGGCTTTTTCCACATCAAATCATTTAGCTAATAAAAATGACCGAAATGATGCGGCATGTTTCTTGCATGGCGCTTGTAAATATTATTTCAGCTGTGAGCTAGACATGCACCACAAATATCCAGGTCAAGGACTATTGTTCTTCTCTCTCAGTTGCACACACACACACTCTCTCTCTCACCTCTCACATATTGTATCTCATCTGTTTCTCAGTTTCAGTGGTCATGACATTAAAAGCTATCAATTTGTGGTAAAACACTTTTTGGTTTGCCTCCCCCAAGGCACCTCCAGTAACCCTTGACAGAAACCACCAAGACATTTGTCATTGCGCCTTTTCCCTCTGCTTTTGTATATCCCTGCAAATGTCATTTGAAATGAGAATCTATTGGTGGGCTGGATTACATCGGATGCTCTGCGCCGTGTGCCTTACAGCCTGTCATAATTTCTCTGCCCCAAGGTGGCCGTGACATTTGTTGTGGGTTCGGAAGTTCACCAAGAGACCACGAATGACTTCACTCAAATCGGAAAACCTTTTCTAATGGGAACAGTTGCTCTCGGTAAGACCAATTTTGCTTGTTTCCTTCATTCCCCCACCATCCATAACAGTGTTTGGGCACTTGCGTCTCACCCTGTCAGAAACTAAATATCAAAATAAAAAAGTTCACCTAAAGTTTTCATCTTGACGTGGTTTTGTCCTTTTTGTTGTTTGTTTACTTTTCATAAAAATATATTTTTCAAGTTAAAAAAATAATAAATGATGATGATGATAATAATAATAATAATAATTATTATTATTATTACTTTTATTATTATTATTATTAATACTTTTATTATTATTATTATTATTATTATTATTATTATTATTATTGTATTATTATTTATTTTATAATAATAATAATAATAATAATTATTATTATTATTATTATTATTACTTTTATTATTATTTATTATCATCATTATTATTATTATTTTGTATTATTATTTATTTTATAATATCATTAATAATAATAATAATAATTATTATTATTATTATCATCATCAATTATTATAACTTTTATTATTATTGTTATTATTATTATTATTATTAATACTTTTATTATTTTATCATTATTATTATTTTTTAAACATTATTAATATTATTATTATTATTATTGTTGTTGTTATTATTTACATTATTTACATTATTATTATTATTATTATTATTATTATTTACATTTTTTACATTATTATTATTAATTTTATTATTATTTACATTATTATTATTATTATTTACATTATTATTATTATTTTTTTTTTACATTATTATTAATATCATCATCATCGTTATCAACAGAACACATTCCAATAATTTAAAAAAACACTTAAATATCCCCATGGTTGGTGCGATGACGTATGAACAAAATGGTGACGGTTGGCCACGCCAACTTGTATATCCATATCTTTTACAGTCTGTGATTTTGACATGTGTTTACGGCATTCTCGAATGCAGTGTTACATTTTGAAAAAAGGAAATGTGAGGCATTTTGCGTTTTGTGTGTGCAGTTTTGAGATTTGTGTGTAGAGTTTTGAAAAAAGTGACACTGTTTTGAAAATGTATGTAAGCAGTTGAAAAAACTGTAAAATACTTGTCTTAAAATGTCCAACACTTGGAATAGTTTTACGTTTTAAAATTGAGCTGAAGTGTCCAAATCCTTTCTGATGCCACTGAATTCCAGGAAGGCGCACTGTTTTCCCTCTGTTCATATAGTGTGTGGGCAGTGTGTTTGGGTCCAGTGAAGTAAAGGGATTTGTAAGTGAAGAGACACCAGTGTGTGGCTTCATCACAGCTGGTGTGCTGAGCAGCTAATGAAAGTACCTCTCGAACCTTATCACTGTGACAATGTAGATGTTAGCCAGGAGTCGAGGGAATTCTCTCACTGTCCCTCTCTCTAATCCTGTTAATTGGCTGCCACACTCAGAGCTGTAAGGTCCTGAGGCAGCCAAACCTCGCCGGCCCGCAGGAGGCTTCTGTCAACAGAACAAACAAAATCCGCCCGCGAGCGTCTCACACATCTCCTTGCTCTCATTTGCAGCCAAAGCCACTGTGACACCTCTGAATAGACAGCTGCTTGCTCGATGGCTTTTTTTAAAGGGCCCAGCATACGCCCCTGCGGTACCTCAAGGCACCTTAATGGACATCTGCTTTTAAGAAGTCACAAGGCCAGGCTTTGTTTACATTGACAGCATGGGGAGTCCATCTTTCTCCGGTCCAGCTGACAAGAAGGGAATGAGCTGGCGCAGTTTCAAACCGAGCGCATTTTATAAAAGAAGGAAAAGGCATGCTTATAATGCACGTGTCAGCAGGCCCAAGCCAACTTTGAGGTCTATAAATATGTAAGTTTCATGTTCGAATATACAAATGAAAAATTGTTTCAAACTACGTCACTGAATGAATTAATGATGCTGATTCGCTCAAGAGGATGCGGCTGCTGCTTTCGCTCCGCCATGTTGCCAGATCCAATTATTGTAAGCATTGCTCCGTTGGGCTTGTTTTTAATACTCAATGTGACAGTGTTAATAAAGTAATTAGGGTGTTAATAAAACAAGATGATGAAGGTTGGGGTTAGCAATTCTGTGTCCTATTTGCAAGATTTGATCTGATTTTTCACAAAACTGTCAAACGCGATCAAAGCAGTGGTGTAATAACAAGGGGTACACTCAACTTTTTTGTCTGGTTCTCAAAGGAGTACATGGAGATGTTGCTTGGCACAATTTTATGCATAGCAAGTCTACATGAGGTCATCAGCAACCCTTTAACTGCCCCACTAAGAACATTTTATTTGGATTGCATTCCCTAACTCTCATGTCCCTAGTTAACATACTCAATGCATTTTTTTTTTCAACACGTCCCATAATTTCTAAAATATCAACCTCTACCAAATGGTAGATATGTCAGTTTATGGTAAAAATACTGGAATTTGAAGTTTAAGACAAATATATAAAAAACATAATAAAAACAAAAGATTTTTGAACACAAAATCATCTTTATTTTTGAAGTATGCTATAAAATATTCAACCCAGGCTCATTCTGAAAACGTAGTCTCGTAGATGTTTCTGGAGACCGTGAAATACGTCCCGGGAGGTACGTATGGCTGCATTTAATTTTTTTAAGCGAACGCTACGGTGTGACACTGTTCCCTTGCCGGCTGACCGCTTACCTCCATGTGGAGGGCTTTCTCGCTGCAATCAGTTTTTCCGGTCAGCTCATCGTGTGCGTCGGCGGACTTCAGATGCAGAGAGGAGGAGTTGACCACAGCGAGCAAATTCGAGGCCGGGGAAGAGTGGTTCCAAAAATTAAGTGAACGAGTTCATAACAGGGTGAGAACGTGGTGAAATCCGAAAACGTGGTGAAAAAAACAGACGAGGGCTTTTCTTTTTCTACACGGCTTTTCTAAATTGTTGCTCTGGTTTAGGGAAGTGAGCAGGCGGGCGGGTCAATCGGTAAAACTGGTTGGGTTTAGGGAAGGAGGAGGGTGGGTCAGCCGATTGGCTGGTCGCGCAGTCAATCATTTGGTCAGTCAGACAGCGGCCTCTAGTGGGTTGACGCCATAACAGCGCGGGCGCGAACGGCACTTGCCAGAGACATTCGAGATAAGAAAGCACACACAGCAGCCTCTCACGGAATCGCGACAACAAAAACTGCACAAATACGTATTTCGCGGTCTCCAGAAACGTCCGCTGGACTACGTTTTCAGAATGAGACTGGTTTGAAAATATTAATTTAAAATTATTTATTTTGAAAGATTCTCATTTAACATGTTTTTTTTTTTTTTTTTTTTTTTTTTTTTACAATAAAACCAAAATCTGTCATGGTCCTGACATGACAGTCTTGTCTGTCCTGTCAGTGTTTAATGTTTGCCTGTTTGTCCTGTGCTTAGTGATCAACTAGAAGTAAAGTTATTATATGTTGCTCTTACAACTGTGTACAACAACTGATGACAAGACTTGTGTCAGGTAGTGTACATAGGGCTGTAACACTTGTATTTTAGTAAGTTAAAGCTAATTTAATGCCAGCACATTTGAAACCTTAAAATCTTGAATGCTCACAAGTCTTGGTTTTGGAAGTGTTAGTTAACCCCTTTCACCTATACTATCACACCAATTTAAACAGCCTTAGTTGGTCCCTGATATGACTAGAACATTTACTCCATTTCTCTTAAACAGCCACTTACAGTGCATCGGGAAAGTATTTATACTGCTTGACTTTTTACACATTTTTTTATGTTATAGCCTTATTTTATAATAGATTAAATTAGTTTATTTTCTCAAAATTATTCACACAATACCTCATAATGACATAATGACAAGAGAAGGGCCTTAGTCAGGGAGGTGATCAATAACCCGATGGTCACTCTGTCTGAGCTCTAGTGTTCTTCTGTGGAGAGAGGAGAACCTTACAGAAGGACAACCAACTGTGCACAGGGCTCGAAATTGACCTTTTTGCTTGGTAGCACTGGTGCTCCTAACTTTAAAAATTTAGGCACATCAGCCAAAATTTAGTTGCACCCACCATTTATAAGCACCGTTACTACAAGTGTTATACAAACATATTTATTGTATTTGAAATCAACACTAATCAAACTAACAAGCAAAAAAATATATACATAAAAAAATATAGCTGTCACTAGCACAGCGGACAGCATTTGGCGATTATATGAAGGATTAAACAGAAGCTCTCGTGCTAGATGTGGCAAACAGTTCCCTGAAAACTCCAACCCACAGACTTTTCATAGCGGACTTGATGCCAATGGAAGTCTTTTATCCACTCTTCGAAAAGTGTAGATGGTGGATTAACATTCAGCACATGGTCACTAGTAGGATGTGTCATTATTTGTAACTTTAGATGCCATGGTTTCTAAAACAAAATCTGTCAGTGTTATCTTCATTCTCATCTTCAGCGCTTTACAATTTTTCGCGGTAGTAGCTCTCTCTGTCATCCCAAGCCAGAAGGCACTGACTGAGTGATTGACAGCTGATATTAACCAATCATTCGCGTTCAGTGCTAGAGCAGTGGTGGGCCAAAATGAAGAGCGCGAAGTAGGGGTAAGCATTACGCACTTGGCTTTGTTTACTGCAGCAAGTTGACATGACAACTGTTTTAAACCATTCCTGAGCGCTGCGTTTCCGCGTTTCAAGTGCAGACAAAGAGCTTAGAGATGGATTCTGCGTGAATGTCTCCCGAATCCACGCATGTGGTGAACATTTTGCAGTAAAAACTGGTCGCACACAACAATTTTAAGCACTCGCAGAAATGCTCCCAAATATATTTTGAGGTCGCATAGATAAAATTTCGGGCGCAAATGCGACCAAAATAGTCACAATTTCGAGCCCTGGTGCAGCAATCCACCAATCAGGCCTGTATGGTAGAGTGGGCAGACGGAAGACACTCCCTGCCTTTAATTTGCTAAAAGGCATCTGAAGAACTCTTAGACCATAAGAAACAACATTTTCTGGTTTGAGACTAAAATTGAACTCTTTGGAATGAATGCCAGGTGTTACATCTGGAGAAAACCAGGCA